TTATGCTAGTTAATTATCTCAAGAAAATCTTGTTTAATGTCCTTATAGTTTATTTTAGTTTTTTTGTATTTAGTTAGGTCAGTATTGAATTAAAATTGTCAAGAAATGAGGTGTTTTGGTATTTGTTTCAAAGAAATCTTAAGGTTATTTGTATATTGATATAAGGTTGAATGCTCGAATAAATTAACTTTGATAAATGAAAGGCAGATATCGAGCACAGTTTTATTAATTAAATCTTGCCCAATTACTTTCGCTTACTAGAGCATCTTCAGAGGCATCTGAAATAAGCCAAGAAACGTTTTTTTTTAAATCAAGAAATTGATTAGCTTCAATAAAAAACTCAAAGTTAATTGACGATAAAAGTTTTTTTGTGATTAACGTTTTAGACTTCCTTCGTCCATTTTGGGCTATCCTACAATCGCAGAATGCCATAAACATCAAATTAAACATAAAGTTGTACATAACACTACACTAAACTAGGACAAACAGTTTAAAATTATTCAAAAAAATAGTCGAAGCTACATTCTGGCCGGCAACAGGACAGAGAATGGCTCCCGGTATTAACGGAAATGTCAAGGTGACATGTGACATATGACAACTTGGATAGACAGTCACAATCATGGAAATGTGATCTGCACATTTTAAAATTCTATGTATAATCTGCACATTTCAAAATGCTTTGGTCAATACTTAGTTACATAGAATTTTAAAATGTGCAAATTACATTTCCATGATTGTGACTGCCCATCCAAGCTGTCATATGTCACATGTCACCTTGACATTTCGGTTAATACCGGGAGCTATTCCATGGCCTGGAATCTTATATGATGACCTTGGTTCATTCCCCCATCACTTTAACCCATCGAGCAAAAAGATAAAAGAGGGAATGTAAAGGTAGTGGGGACAAAAATATTGTTAGACAGGAAGTGCTATCTTGAGAGGCCACTTTAAACAAGGAAAGACAGTCTCTTTCCTTGTTTGAGAAGTCAAATTTAGTTTGGTTATGTTATTGTTTGTCCCAACTGTCACATGAAATTTTATTTATATTGAAGTTTTTTACCAATTGTGTCACTTTTTAGACTATTATCGTTAATATTTAATTAAAACTTTCTTGACTGAAAAATATTTTACAGCTATTGTTAACAAAAATGTTGGAAAATTTAAATTTACCGCCTTTGCATTTCCGGATATGTCCGCCATCAGAGGCCACTTTTTTGGTCTCCTTTTTATAACGATTAGATTCCCTCTTTTATCTTTTTGCTCGATGCTTTAACCCCAGCGAGTTAATAAAGAGAAATGACAGCCTATCTCTCTCACGAAGACTTTAACCAATCATAAACCAAATAAAATAATCAAACGAAGCAATGTCAATTCTGTCAAAAGTAATGACAGATCTTCCGTTTGTTTACAACTTTTCAATTTTATTTTATTATCTTTAACTTACGTTTGCATTTATTCTTAGTAATTTTAATTTAAGTTGGTTACTTAGTTTTTAAAGTTTAGTTTGAGTTACCTATTGTAGCAAAGAATTTTTGTGTTGTGCTACTGAAAAAACTAAATATGGTGAAGTATTGTATTGTTGCGTTGTGTAAAAATCATGGAAAAATTACAAAAAGAATGATGATAGTAAGTTGCCAGGAAGCAAAAAATAATAGTATTTAACTTCTGAAAATATGTGTAATAAATATTATGTAATTAGTTTATAACTGTTTTATCTTAACAAATAAATATACATGTATCTAGAAAACCAGTAAATTTTAATTAGTAAAGAAATAGCCCGCAAGAGGCGCTAAAGGTAATGTATGTTAGGGGTGTCCATTCGAATTTGCCGCCAAAAGATGATTAGTATTGACCCCAGACGCAAGGAGTCCTAATAAACGAAATTTTTACACTGAATTGCCTATCTATTTCTACTATTATATTATTTATCTATGAGCTATTCTCTCTCCTGTTGCCGACCAGAATGTAGCTTCGACTTTTTTTTAAATAATTTTAAACTGTTTGTCCTAGTTTAGTGTAGTAATATGTACAACTTTATGGTTATTTGATGTTTATGACATTCTACGATTGTTGGATAGCAGAAAATTGTCAAAGTAAGTCTAAAACATCAATTACAAAAAAATTTTATTGTCAATTACCTTCGAGTTTTTTTCTTAATCAATTTCTTAAAAAAACGTTTCTTACGTTTTAAAATTTATTCGGTTTTGACATGTTTTCTTTAAGTTTACGATATGGTCTTTGCAAGTGAGTTTTTTTATCAAAAGTCATACCTACAAAACGAATGCTACTTTTAATTTCTAACAATTGCCCTTTGAAGGTATAATGATCGATTTACTTGCAAATGATTTTTCAAAAAAAAAAAACTTCAATCCTATGGAGTCTAACCAGCGACTTAAGATATCTAGTGAAGTTTGAATATGTTTTTGGGTAGATGTGATATTTTTCTCTTTAGTAAATATAACCAGATCATCAGCATAAAGTCTTCCTTTCACTAGTGGGGAGCAGTGATAATGAAGAAAAATGTCTAGATTGATTAGAGAAGTGAAAAAAGAATAAACTTTTAAAATAAATAAAAGTATGAATTTATTAATGTCAATATGAAGGGGTATAGATAAGGATTTTTATATTAAATATTAGAATCACATAGTATCCAGTCCATGGAAGAAATTGGTAAGAAGGACCAGACGATAACGAGTTTCGATTTCATTTTATTTTCACTATTTAATTATTTTTATAGAAGACTTAAAGATATAAATGTATTATCTTAGAAGATCAAGATTAATTAACCGTAACATTTAAATCAAAACCAAATATTCTTCATAGCCTACGAAAGTTTTTAATTTATTCGCAAAACAAATTAATAAAATATCACCTATAATTATTTGATTGTAAAAGACGATCTAACGACCGGCATTGTGGGACATTGAAGTATCAACAACTGTGTTGCATCTTAATCAGTTTTCCTTAACAAGTCGTATGACGAAAGTGAAAGAACTTCTAACTGTACAGTTCCGACTATTTTTTGTTTAGTGATTCTATACTTGTGTACCATTATTTTTAAGGTAAGTCAAATTTCTTCTAAAATATTCTAAAGATCGTTGTATATTATTGGTAGATAAATAGCGGTTTTGTATTTAAGTAAATAGTATTTTACCTAATCTTTAATACGGTATTTTATAAATATACTTGGCTTACAAGCTATTCACTATAAAAATTAAGGACTGTCTAATTAAAATGATATATTTCCAACAAATTATCTAATTTATAATATAAAGGGTGTTTTATTATTAATATTTTAAATATACTATCTGCGAAATTTTAATGTAAAAATATGACCATATAACCCAAATAACTTTCACCGATTGATAAAACATTGCTCTTAATTAGAATTCGGATATTTTAATGAAACATGTAAAAATGAACTTTGGTTATTATATTAATAGCCCGCTTTAGATCGGCAATTTCCAATTCCAAGCGTTTTCTCAGATCTTCCTGAACTTAGTCCATACATCTTATTTTTAATCATTTTTTATATAGCTTTACTATCTTGTTTTGTTGGAATATGATTTTTGTTGGGTTTAGGGGGATTTGTGTGCTTTATATAATCAGCGATGAGTTTTTCTCTTAAGCTTAATTACATTTACAATACATTTGACTCTTTGTAAGCTTTTTACAATTCTAAATTGTATCGCCTACTCCAAATGTCATTTACGCAGACGCAACAATATATGTACATATTGCAGGCGGATCTTTATAAATCCCAGATTCTATATAGGACCCTATTCTGATTTCGCCGTATAACTCCTATAAATTAAATTATATGCAATGAAATCGTATTGCAATCAAATTACTTGGGTTGGGATTTTGGGAAGTTTCACACAATAATACATTATCCAAATATACATAACCTAAATTATTTCTCAAAAGTTCGAAAGCATGTACACATCTGTTAAAAACTTTTGAAAATGCATTACAATAGAACATTTCAGGAATGCCGTAGGTGTATTGAGATAAAAGTTATTCTGGGAGTAAAATTATTCAAATAAATTTTAAGCTTATTTAGTAATGCATATAGTTTAAGAGAAAAATCTAAAATTAATACTTTTTTTTATTTGAGAAACAATCGCATCCACCTAATGGATACTAGCTACGGAACAATACATATAAGGTATAAGGTTACATACATTACTATTATTAAACATTACATTATTATTATTAAAACATACACACCTTTACTCAGAAAAAAAAATAACTCAAAATTTCAATTTGGTGGGGAACAAATCTTTGATATTTTTGCTGCCATCAATATATTCCTTTGTTGTAAAAGCTCGAAGGTAGTGTGATTCCATTTTAGGGATATATTGAATGTGCTCAATGATTGCAGCTCGTAATTCTGGACTCATTTTTCTATGACTGTCATGTCTGCATCTAAAATCAGTTTGCGAAAAATCGTTGTTGATCATTTTATTCTGTACCGTAAATATCATCTTATCGGAGATGTCCAATGTAGCCTTGTAAAACTCTAATTGTCATATTATTCACAATGAAATGAAATGCTTTATTGTTGTGTCTGGTTCTCTGAGCATTGCTGCATTTGTATTTAGGCTGAATGTCAATCATACTGTCGCTTAGGTATGCTCTTTGTTTGTCATCTAAATCCCAAAACTTCTTAAAAAGGTCGTACCTACACTCTATATTAATATTTGTAGGGCATTTAATCATTAAGTACATTTTCATAGATACATATGATTTTCCTGTATTACGCCTGCGCTTAAGTTTATTCTGTTTCCATTAGGAAGGATTTTTAGTTCGTTTGCGTCCCTTTTTGGAATATAATTACCAGAAGAACGATAGGAATCTGCCGAACTGGTGGAAGAAGATCTAAAATTTTCAAAAAAGTAGTTTCTCTTTCTGTTAGGTTCAATGTTAATGAATGTTGGATCTGTAACGCTTAAGTCAACATCACTTTCATCAGTACATAAAGGAGAAGTGTAATAATTTTAAACCCTTTTTAACTCCCTGGGACGACGATTTACTACCTAAAAGATCAATTTAATTTAATAGTATAAATTATCTATAATAAATATCAACAGCCATAAATAATAACTTACAATGCCATCGCTATCCAGTTCACCAACAGTCACGTTTTGAGTAATATGGGTTAGTAAGTTTACTTTTACTGGTGATGGAGAACAATTGGACGAGCCCGAAGATGAACTATTGGATGAATCCAAAGATAAAGCTGACGATGATGAACTATTTGATGAAGACTGAATGAGACGATGTCTTTCCTCCGTAGTTAAGCATCCAGTAACAATATCTTCATTGTCAGATAAACTACCGTCAGTGTCATCATAAGGTACTAAGGGTTGTATGTTTACAAACTGAGATTTCTGTAATTAAACAGCATAATTATTATAATTTATGGTTATGGTATTAAAACACTAATAATACAGTAAATTTGTGATTCAGTTTACAAGCTTTAAGTAATTACTATTACAGCTACTTCAACTGAGTTATCGAAACTATCCACTGGTTCCGTTACCATTTTAACGTCTATGTTAAAATTCTTCTGGATCTCAACAGCGAACCTATTTTCACTTAATAACTAAAATCAAAAGAGGAATTAGAGGCAATGCTCAGTTAAATATAATGTAAAAATTTTAAATACTCACCTCATGATTAGATTTCTTAGTTGAATTATAATCCGATGAAATATTTTTAGAATTTAGCACAGTATTTTCAACAACTTAGCCGAGTATTTTTCGTGCTCTCGAAGACATCTTAAAGTCTAAAATAAAGATACCGCTTAAAATTATATTTTATATAATAAAAAATATTAGACAACCACTTACTATACTCTGTTTTTTAACCAGGAGGAGTAAACCAAAAAGACAGATTCACATCCAAGAAAGTTACTAGAAAAGTCACCAAATACATCTTCTTTTTTTGTTGATTATCTCGGCCTTGCGGTAATCGAGTAATCAATATCGGACAACCTTACACGTCAATTCTAACCCAACTTTGTTTATTTATGTTTGAATAATAATTTTTTTCAATCCACTTCCAATATATATTATAGTTATTACAATAAAAAAAGGACGGTTTTCACATTTGGTCCTATGTATATACATTTAAATATCGGGTGATCCAGTTTTATAGATCTCTTGAGTCTATAATATCTAATTATAATTTAGAGAATATTTTGATCCAGAGAGTCAATAATGTTACAGACCTAAGTATGGTTTTTCACAGAAAGTTGTCTTTTAATTTGCAAAGAGATATTATATGCAACAAAGCTATGCAAATTAATGTATCAAAAAGTTAGAGAGAGTTCAAAGATTTCTGAAATACTGCTCTTTTAAACTGCCTAGACCATATTCTTATTCTGGTGTGATCAATTTCTTGAATCTAGGTTTTTTTTCTTACCAGAAGAGTTAACTTTGACTTTGATCATTATTTTTAAGCTTGATAATCCAATATCCTGAATTGCTTCAACCAATTTGTTTTACATATTCCTTCCCGTTCACAATTCACTTTTTCGTGTTTCCCATCACAGAATAAATTATAGTTCAGATATAGGTGTGGTCCTGTTTTCTATGCATGGTGATCAGTTACCTCATTAGATAGATTTGTTTAACTTATATATTAATATCTTTAGGTTCTATTTGAAGCACTAAAATGCAAAAAGATACATTGTATAAATAAGTGTGTACTAGCAATTTCTTTAATGCTAGATTCTTGTTTAATTTTGACAGTGAGTTTGTCTTCTACTTAATTAATAATCCTACTAATTCTACTTAATAGATAATCAACAAATTCAATATATTATGTTACATTGTAGAATAAATTTGCAGTTTTCTAGTGATGATCTACAACCAGGAAGAACAAAACCAACTGTATCAATACAATCTAACTAAAACACAACATTACTTTACTTATAACGTTCTTTTATTGTGATGAAAACAAAATGAAAAAAATTTAAAAGATAGTTGCCATTTTTCTTATGATAATTAGATATAAATAACATACATTTATAAATTTATAAACACTAAACTATATTTAGTATAAATATCATCAAGAAAAATATCACATTAAATACTTTTCGCATACCAAAAAGTCCAAGTTATTAAAAACAACTTAAAGAGTCAGAAATCGATTTATATATTAGCGAAAAAGAATATTCTGTGCATAATATATATTCGGAAAGTACGTAAAAAAAATTAATAATTTTATTTGTCTTCCAAAATATCCTCTACATTTATGTCTTGGTGAGGTTCATGAACAACTACACCATTTTGAATCTCTTCATTTAGTTTTTTAGCAAAAACTAAATCTATTTCAGATATTTGAGCAATAAAGTTTTGTTTTTAGTCAGCAGCCCAATATATAAACCATTCTTTGAATAATTTCACCTAAAAAATAACTATGGTAAGACATTCATAATACAGACAATAAAGCAATCATCCTATAAACAGTAAGATAATCAATCTATAGTTAGTATAAATGCAAACGATAAATTTAAAAATGTAAGGAATAACTCAGAAAATACAAAAAATCGTCGATATAAATTTTTAATTTTAAAATTTCACAAATGTCATTAGTATCAATATGTCATAATTTAGTGGAGTAAACTTGCGTTAAACCAATTACAAACAAGCACTACGGCGCGTAAAATTTGAATTACTCCTGGTTATAAAACAGACCATAACAATAATTAATTTTCAAGTTTAAATTATAAAATAATTGGACAATAATTATTAAACAGAAGTAACACAAAAAATTGATTTTTTTCTGATATCTTAATAATATAATACTGAAGCAACACTTAATCACTCATGATTTGGTTAAATATTTTAATAAAAAAATGCATTAACATTAACTAATGTTTTTTATAATCCTCTGATGTAATTTATACTAAACTGTAATAAGTCACAATATTACAGGAAAAACGATGTCAACCTTTCTAATAAAGTGAAACAACTCTCAATTAATGCACTTTTGAAAAAAACACGTATATTAAATAATTACCTGATAGTATAACACAAAATGATTTCAAGTTATTTCACCTTTTTAACTCACTGCACAGCTCTTACCTCTCCTAACGCCGACTCATTACTGAATTTGATCACTTTATCAACTTGTTCCCGCCTGTTAGTCAAAAAGAGAAACACTGTCATCTATCTCCGTCATTTTTCATCGTAAGGCGCCAAAGGTTGAACTAGACATTCTCCTTGCATAGTTACAGTATTGTGCGAATTAATGGAATCATAGGCTGTTTTAATGAAAAAACAGTTTATTTAGTAAAAAATTATATTTTGACAAAACTATAAAGGTAAACTTACATCATTGAGTAGGAAATATGTCCCACTTCGGCAGCAATTACTGCTTTTACCCGTTTTGGCATAGATTCTATGAGTTTCTGGCAGTTGTCAGATATCCTTTCATCTCGATACCAAACCTAAATGGCCGCTTCTATCATTTTTGTTTTATTGGTACAGTCGATTTTTCGCAGTCTAGCTTTGCAAATGGCCCATAAATTTTCAATGGGGTTGAGGTCGGGCGAATTACCGGGCCAATCTAAAACATTAATCTTCTTATTTTTGAAAAATGCCATCATTTCCTTTGATTTGTGACAGGGAGCAGAGTCCTGTTGAAGAATCGCTCCTCCTTGGGGTTGACATTTTTGGAGTTGTTTGTCCAAATACTTTTCCAACGTGGATTTGTATTTTTGGCTGTTCATCATGCCTTCAATTGGCACCAAAGATCCAACCCCCATGTATGAAAAACATCCCCAAAACATTTTCTTGACTGGATGTTTTACGGTTTGATCAATATGAGATGGTGTAAGCTTTTCATTGTCAGACTTCCTGACGAATTTCGACCGCTGTCCCTGAACTATAAAGTGGGTTTCATCTGTAAATAGGACTTTTTTTCCAGTCGCCTACAGTCCAATTAGAGTATTTTTTGGCCCACAGTAGCCTTCGTTTCTTTATTCGTTCAGTTAGAAGCTGTTTTTTCTGTGGACGAATTGCCCTTCTACCATTCTCCAAAAGTCTTCTACGAACAGTTGAGTCATGAATCACTATAGCTGATGCTGCTAGATCTTGTTGTAGGTCTTGGCTTGATTTTCTTGGGTTCAATTTGCTCTTTCGAAGTAAAAATCTATCATCTGCTGGTGTTGTTTTTCTCTTTCTTCCACATTTTCCTAACCTTTTCACATCCACTGATCCCGTTTCTCCCGTTTACGCTTCAAAATTTTGCTTACTACCCCCTGACTCACTCCACACGTTCTAGCAATCTCTCTTTGTGACATACTAGTGTGTTCACTCAACGTGACAATCTTTTCACGCTTCCTAAGCGTAATATCCATGTTGCAATAAAACCAAAATCAACACAAAATAGTACAAAAACCCCCAAAACAACACAAGCTTGGTAAGAAATGACCTAAAATACACTCAAACACACTAACACACAATAAGGTTATGTTTTCAATACTTGGTCAGCTGTCAACTGTGTAGGTAGTGTTGCCAACTGTGAATATTGAAAAAATGAAAAAAAAAATTCACAGTGATTCCATTAGTTCGCACAATACTGTATTTGTGCGAACTAATGGAATCACTGTGAATTTTTTGTATTGTATTGTAAAATATATACAAATTTTTCGAGAACATTGCAAACATATGGGTTTTTGACACGTTTTACATAAATATGCAGTCTTTCTTCTTAATTTGCATGGACAGATGTAGCAATATTTTTTTATTTCAAGCTTTTCTTCTTCGTTAGTCTTATTTTCGGCAATATCAAGGATACTTCCGATCAGTTCTTTCAGCTGCCTTTCTAATGGCGGCATTTCATATCTTCTATGCAAATGTGAGGAAACGAGTTTATCGGCCAGGGTTTCTATAAATTTGAATATAGTCCAATTATTTTCGGGAATCGAAGTAAACATAATGTATGAATTTACTCCACATATGTCTACTATTTTATTAAAAATGGCCATGGATCATCTACGTGTTCTGCGCTACAGTAATATTTTACACACTTTTTATACATCGAGTCTACACCCCATTTGGTCAAGTTGTAAAACAAATTTATTTCTGGTAGTCCATTATCTGCATCCACTTCTATGGAATGATGCACGAAAGAAATAAATATCACAGCTTTTTCTTAGTTGTATGGGATAAAAGTGTTAAGTCTTTGGTAAATCCATACAAAGTTCGCCTTCATTACGATTTGGTCGCGGAAGGAACTGTGGAGGAATTTCTTTTTTATTTCTTCGCAGTTGTCGCCAGTTACATTTCTATTAGTATTGTATAGATGTTTGACTAATCTTATAACTGCTTGAGTAGGTATACTCATTCCTCTTTCTTCATTTGTCAGGCTAAACCCATCTAAACCTTTCGGAGCATAAATGTAAGTATTATGTAATTACCCAGTTCGTGCATCTGTCATACATAAGATTTTTATCCCATATTTACAGGGTTTGCTGGGAATATGTTTTAAAGCGACATCTGCCAAGACTACCAGCATTTCGTCTACATTTTTTCCAACCGTATATGCATCTGTTAAATTGTTTACAAATAAGACTTGGATAGCAGCAGCTGAATTATCTGTTGCTCTTTTTGTTGACTATTTTTTACTCGAGCTTTCAATTGTGATTACAATTTTTATCAAGAGCTTCTAAAAAAATACAAAATGTCTTACAAAGTTGAACTAGGAATAAAAAATTTTTTGTTAACTCACCAAATAAAATTAGTTTTTTAAATAAAACTACTGCTTACATATTAAATACAAAAAATATTAATAAAAAAATGTCTTATTCTAATAAATGTTTCTCTGAAAAATTTAGATGAAGTTTCTTAAGAAAAAAAATTGAATTTATAAACAAAAATAGAATAGCTACATTTTTTTTGTTTATAAATTTTACTATTTTTGTTTATAAATTCAATTTTTTTTTTCTGAAGAAACTTCATCTAATTTTTCAGAGAAACATTTATTAGAATAAGACATTTTTTTATTAATATTTTTTGTATTTAATATGTAAGCAGTAATTTTATTTAAAAAACTAATTTTATTTGGTGAGTTAACAAAAAATTTTTTATTCCTAGTTCAACTTTGTAAGACATTTTGTATTTTTTAGAAGCTCTTGATAAAAATTGTAATCACAATTGAAAGCTCGAGTAAAAAATAGTCAACAAATAGCCCCTTTTATTGACTCCAACCCATCAAAAACAGTGTTATATTTTTTCCAAACGAGTCACAAGTACTTCTTTTTTCTTACTCTTATATATATATATATATATATATATATATACATATATATATATATATATATATATATACATATATATATATATATATATATATACATATATATATATATATATATATATATATATATATATATATATATATATATATATATATATATATATATATATATATATATGTGTGTGTGTGTGTGTGTGTGTGTGTGTGTGTTTATATACACTTTTCCTAACGTGAAAGTCAATGGATCTGTTCTAGCGTCAGACAAACTTTATTTAATATACAAAATATCAATCGCATGAATTTCAAATACTGCCCCAAATTTTTAAGCAGTAACTATTTACAGAATAGTTACTGTTTAATATTTTGTATATTCAAAACCAAAACATAAAATTGAAAATAAAATATTGGTGAAAGAATAACCGAACTAACATGTACCAACCTTTTAAATTTTAATATTAATACAATACTTAAAGATATAATTGCAGAGTTAAATTCAAAATACCAGGTGATGCTTATTGTTTTAGCTTCCCCTAAATAACTAGAACCCAAAAGTCTCTCTGATGGTGTACGGCCGTATGTTATTTGTAATTGTGATGTATGGTACATATTTGACATTATAATTTTAACAATTAAAATTTTTAAAATAGTTGTGAAGTTTATTTAAGCCTTAATAATAAAGTATAAACTGATTTTCTTATTGTAAATAATGTGTTTATTAAATTTTACTATCAAGTTGATACACATTTTATTTACAATTAATTTCTCGTGCGTAACTGACTTCAAGCGTTGTTTATGCGAGAACAGTTCATTCTACACAAAATGTCCTAATAAACAATTTTGTTCAGAATTATCTCAGCTAAATTTTTTATTTGAAATATTTTTTCTACGGTGTTCAGATACTTAATAAATCGATTTTTTTCGTTTTACCTCAATACGAAGGGTTTTAGGGAGAAGCCGGGGTAGCAGTGGTAAACTTTTTTTGCATCTTTTTGGGATCTCAAAATTAACATTCTCGGCAAAATTCAGCTTCTTCGTCCTATTTTTAGGGATAAAATCTCTGACGACTGGACTAATTTTGGCAATTTTTTTCACGATTCTTACCTATTTTAGAAATAAATATTTTGCTTATTTGGGCAAAATATGCTTTTACTCTAAGTGCTTATTTGACATTTTTGTCATGGTTACAGTATGGCCTTCATACAGAGTGAAAAACTTGCAAAATACGTATATTTTTTTGGTGAAGTGAACTTTTCCTACGATATTTTACATTATTTTTTAAATTTATTTAATGTTTTTTTTTAATAATAAATTCCTTCATCTTCTATATATAGATTTCCTATAGCTTGTTGAATTTTCATTATATTTTATTTCTGCAACAAGATTACTTGAAATTAAGTAAAACGCAGTCATTTAATGTATATTTCATGAAAAATACTACACGTTGTCAGAAACATGACACTCTTATTGCCCATACATATCACGTAAGATGTACTTGACAAGATATTATAATTATAATACATTAACTTCGACATACATTCCTTAAAATATGTAAGAATTTTATTTTTTATCCACAACCTGTAATTCTTATTAATCATAGACATTTAGTTCATCCTGGTAACTACCACATAAATGAATAAAGTCATAATGTACAAGGTGAATACACGAGTTAATAAAATTCAGTATTAATAGCGATTGAACCCAGTAAAAATCGTCAGTTTGACAAAACGCCACGAATGAGTCTGTAATATAACTCAATGAGATTAGTTTTTCAATTTTAATTAAGTAGACAATAGATTAAAAAAAAAAAAGAAAAACTACAACTCTTTTTTTACTTAGAGATCTCGCCGAGAATACAAAACCAGTGGTTTAGGACAGGGGTTTCCAATTTCGTTTGGTCTCGGAACCC